GTTAATACATTGAATCTACTCAACTCTAATGCTTAACACTAACCAACACTGACTTCCTGACAAGAGGATAAAACTTCACTGGCAGGGTGGTGTCCTAATGCCAATGTTTAGGATAGTGCCAGATCATCATTTAAAACCAAAGCCAGTAGATCTTTCAACTGCAGAGATATACAGATTTTCCCATAGTGACTGCAGATGGTTTGATTTTGGCAAGGGCAGTTCTTGAATGAATTTAAAGCATCAAAGCTATTTGAAGACAGAATGGATAGCCTTACAATTCTGAAGAAGAAATCATTTCGGGTATAAGGAAATGAGGGTCTGAGCACCAGTCCTAACATGACAGCAACCCTAGAACCTTGAACAGGGTAAACTCACGACAACCACCAATCATTATTTTTTTTTGAACTACAACATAAATAGTAAGTCTCTTCAAAAAGTGCCTGAGTCCTTTCCTGATAAATCTAATGGGCTAGGAGGAGAAGAGAAAGCATCAGTGTTCTACCATCTAGATTCACTGCTCTCTCTCTCTCTCTCTCTCTCTCTCTCTGTCTCTCTGACTCTCTCTGTCTCTGTCTCTGTCTCTCTCCTTGATATCTAACTTTTGGTTTCATAGTTGAGGACAAATTATGTCGCTGAATAGATCAGATTATAAATAAATACACCCCTGGACACATCCTGAAGCAAAAGTCAGCCTGTATGTCCTGTTTGCTAATGGATCAACACTTAGTTAATCACGTAGCGAGCCTCTTTCTAAAGACTTTGGTCCAGAAATGAATCAGTGAAGGATCAAGGAATGACACTGAAAAGTAGTCTGGGGGAGAAACCCTGCACACCATGTGGGAAACGAACACTACACAGCCTATTAATAGAGAGGAGCTGGAAATTCTCCCTCCATGGCTGAGCAGGGTCTCCACAGATTTTTGCAAATCAGGATGGTCATTGTAGAATGGGCTTAGTGACTTTGGTTGGCAACAATGATGGTGAATGGGATTCCCATTATATTTTAAATCCTACTGGTAGTCGGCTTAGAATGCTCTGTGGAATAATTCTAGAAGAGGAACGGCAATACACGTAGGATGCACACACTCTCCTGACTTTGATGTTAACAAAAAAAAATCATCAGCTGATAGCTAAGAGCAGAAGCCGGCGGTCCTTCTAGTAAGCCTGAGCTTCTACAGTTCAGACACAGGAACATCTGCCCAAAGGACTGCTTTCGGTTTTGTTCTGTTCAGTTTTCCACCTGATGTATGCAGTCTTTAACAAACTGAGATCTCTGGGAAAGACATGAAACAGTTAATATTCTGCAAACGGGAGTTCTTAGGAGTCACAAAAAGTACTTTTACAGATCAGTACTTACAGGGTCCCCTCCAGAGGCAAATGAAATCGATTGCATTTGATGCTTTGCAATAATCTGGAAAACAAAAAGAAATTAAACATGTATAATGCTCTAATGCATTTGTTCTGTCTCCACCTGCTTAGCGTCCCGTTAGAAACCGCTCTGCCTATAATTCTAAAATAAGCCCCTTTGTTGTTGTTGTTTTGGCATAGGGGTTGAAGTCAAAGCTTTGTGCATCCAAAGCATTTGCTCTACCGCTAAGCTATGTCCCCAAGTCCTGAATAATCAGTTAAGCCATGGATTCAAAGTGCCTTTCTCTCTGCCCCTCCCCAGCTAAATAGACTTATTATTGAGTTCTATCCATCCATTCAGTGAATACCAACCTTTCAATATAGCCAGTCAGTGTTTTATGGGGGAACTGAGGTAGGGAGCAGGAAAGAGAGCACTTCCACTAAGGACCATAGGGGCCTAAGGTTTCTAGGGGTCACCTTTTGCTGTCATGTGGGCAAAGCCTGCTAGAATATGAAATTTTCATTCTGGAAAAACTGAGAGCTGAACAGAACAGTTAAAAACAGAAAAAAATGGTGGGAGGATGCGTTTCATCACTTTGACTAGTACTTTTCCCTTCTCCCTTTATATTCTTTCCCTTTATATTTTTACTAAATTTAATTCTATTTATAGACCTACTATATTTACTTTTGTTTTAATCATTCACTACCATGTATCCAAGCACACTAATATTAAAAATTATAACATGGGAGCTGGAAAGGTGCTCATTGTTTCAGGACCCGGGTTCCTCTCCCAGCGTCTACATGTTGGATCATAACCATGTGTAATTATCAACAGAGGATCCAGTGCCCTCTACTGGCTGTTTGGGGAACCAAACCTGCACATAGTACACAAATGCACATGGAGGCAAAACACCCACACACATAAAAGTAAAATAAATCTAAAGACAGTATAAAAATTTAAAGATTTCTAATGTGAAGTATGACTAGCGAGACAGCTGCATTTATTAGCACAAAATGAGTTTTACTTGCGATACTAATTTGTCTGCTTGTGTTTGGAAGCGAACACAATACAATTCAGTACAGTAACTGATTTGTAGAGGTTAATTGTTATACAGTTCTAAAGGTTCATCAAATTACCAAATATGCAACTACTAATGTATTCTGACAGCAGAACTGTGTGGAAGAACCTGCTAAGGCTGTACATAAAAGGCAGCCAAGAAAATCTGCTCCTAGATGGACAGCCAATGAGAATTGAATAAATACATGCAACAAATTATATTCTCAAGAAATAAATAACTATTTAAAATAGCCCTGGATTAGAAGCAATCCCAAAGTCAACTGTTGTGATATTCAAATAGTAGACTACTTACAATGTAACAATGTGTTTGGTAGGTTAAAAAAAAAAGAGTCAAACACAAAGAATAAATTGATGTATCATTTAACTTATGAAAAATGGCAAAGATTTTATTGAAATATTTGCTTAAAATTTGGTGGTTATTCATGAGGCACAAGGGAAGGAAAAAGTGTTTTTCTGAAATCTACAAACCGTTCCTTTTCTTCCGGGGTATAGGTAAACAAATATGTTCAGTTTGTGGTTATTAAACCACACACATTACTTATGAATTACTTTTATGAATTAATATTTCAGTAAGAATAAAATCAACACGCAGAGATCATATATCAATAATCACTCATCAGAAACTGCATTTAATGGGCAAAAAGGAAGATTTCATACAAGTATGTCCAAATATAAAAGCAGTAAAAAAAAAATCATGTAATACTTTAGGAAAACCATCATTGAAGGGTTTAAAAAATGACCTCTGGCAGAAGAGAAGGCAAAAGTGATATAACCGTCAGAGGATGAAGGGCAGTGCTGTGACTGCTGTCCTCTGGACATGGCAGGGCCATTGCGCCCATGAATTCACAGCGTCTGTGCATATTCTCACAATTCCTGCATGAAATTGCCAGCCCAAATTCCAGCCTTCGTAGGAGTGCTCTCAAGGCCAGAAGCCTAACTGAGGAGCCATTAGCAGGTGATGACTTCTAGAAGAGCCAGTCTTCTTTGGAGGGATGGCATCGGGTAGGTCGCCCATACGCCAGCGAATGACCTCCCATTTGAGCACATATGGGCAGCACTAAGTGGACTTAGTGGGTCATTAAAAAACAAAACAAGAGGATATTAATTTTGGAAAGGATGTATGTTGGGAGACCTGAGGGGAGTTGGTGGATGGAAACGGGAGAGTGAATAGGATCCTACAGCATTATATAAATGTATGAAATCCTCAAGAACAAAATTTTAAATCTACTTAAGTAGATACTTATCACTTTATGGATATGAAAGTAATATTATTATAAAGATGTCAATGATTTTTCCCTAAACTAATTTATAAATACCATGAAATTGTACCAGTCATTAGTGTAGCTTTTTAAGCTATTTTTTAAAATGTATATGGGAGAATAAATATAAAAAAAAAACTAGGGCATTTTTTTTAAGCAAGTGGACAAGGTTTACCTTGTCAGGTAGCAAGGCATATTACTGTAGTTGGAAAATCCATCTTAATGGTACAAAAAAGATAGAAAACAAATTATTTGATTACAAACAAACTAATTTTAAATGTTTTATAAACTCCTTAAGCACAGACTCGAAGAATATATTTGTAAAATGAAAAACAGAATATTCATTCATTTTCAAAGAATTCCTACAAATCAGCAAAACAAACACATAGTAAGGCCTGTTAATGCACTAAAAGAAAGCAAACGTTCCCTATACCTACTGAAAGATAATTGTCCTCCAATAAATTAAAGCTACAGAAAGATTATAAGGACACAGTCAGGGCTGGAGAGCTGGCTTGGCAGTAAACACCATCGATTGCTCACACTAAGGACCAGAGTTTGAATCCCAGCACCCATAGGGCAGTGCACAACTGTGACCTCATTTCCAGGAGATCAGCTCCCTCTTCTGGTCTTTGCAGGCCATGCACACTCATGGCGCACGGACGTTACATGCAAATAAAACATCCATACACATAAAAGAGAACAAGCTGATAAAACTGAAATTTAATTTTATTAATTCAATAAAACAACTGGTGGCAAGGGTGTGAATATTCTTAAACACTGTAGCGCGCGC